AGCAAAGGGTCTGAATACTTATGACCATGTGATATTTCAGTTTTTCTTTTTTAATAAATCTGCAAAAATGTCAAACATTTTCTGTTTTTCTGTCAATATGGGGTGCTGTGTGTACATTAATGAGGAAAAAAATGAACTTAAATGATTTTAGCATATGGCTGCAATATAACAAAGAGTGAAAAATTTAAGAGTCTGAATACTTTCCATACCCACTGTATGCTTCCAAAAAATTAATACTCCAGTCACACATCCTACTCAGCCAATCAGCTTTCTTTTTCCCCAGAAAAAAAAGGTCTATTGGATTCTATGTCACCTCTATTGAGTGTCTCTGTCCTGGCATTACCTGTATTCCATCTCCCCATATCTGGAAAACACATCTTCATTTTGGCTTGGTCATTTGACTACAGCAATAACTCTGTATGACTTCATTTAAAATGCTGCTTGGCATGATTGTGACTGTCTTGTCAGTTGGTGTTAGGGAGATGGGTGACTTGGAGATGTGTGTCTGTGTGTGGAGATAGAGAGAGGGGGAGAGATGTTAGAGGCGGTTAGTGATGCTATACAGAGACAAAGCTTCAATAATAACCTCGCTGGAGAAACAATCAAATAGACACAAACAGTGCAATATTGTTACTTGGTTGATATGGAGGAATGGGGGGAGCTTTATTTGAATTCAACCCAGGAAGTTCTATTAGATTTAAATTGTATATGAACTCCCACATGATGTCATTCTCACAAATGTGTTTGCAGCTTGGCTCTTTTAAATAGCGTTCAATATGAATTTTCCATGTGCGTTTTTTGTTATTTTGTCATAAAGACAGCGAGGCTGGCACAAAAAATATAAAGCAGCTTCAGCAAAATTAAAGGCGTCAAACTGGAAACATGCCTGGACTTTGAAGGAAGCCATTGAACCTACTGGTACAGATAACATTCACAACAGGAGTACAAATGTGTAGTGTCTTTTTTTTATTGTGGGGCCACTGAGGAACTTTAATGGAGCAGTTGTGGTTTAAGTGCCCTGTTTATGGGCAAATTGACAGCAGTTGTTGAGACTTAGCAGAGCCTGTTATTTTTCCACTACAACTTTTCGCAACTGGTTGTGCTGCTCTTGACACTTTTAAGTAGATAACCAATAGGCTTTAATGGTTTATTTCCCAACCCTACTTTTTATATGCAAATGAATTGGATGGCTAAATAGAGGTCAAATTAATGTGTAGAAACTGTGGCCAGTTATTTCAAGCAATGGAGCAACTGATTCATAATGTAACTGATGCGACCGCTTCATTTAAAAATCAATATTTTGCTGTTTACTTTTCCTTAATTCATGTCTTCTGAACAGCATGTAGACTGTGCTCACCGATGGTTAAGAAAGTCCTCCTTCTTACTTTGACCAGATAAGAAGTCAGTCTAAGAGTTGAGCTCAAAGGAAGGTAGTTGCAGACCTGACACCAGCATTGTATTCAAGTCACTAAACTTTGAATATCGAGTCCAAGTCTCAATGTCCAAGTCAAGTTCGAATCACCAAAGAATAGTCAGAGTCGAATCCCCGTTACATGAATCAAAGTCATCAAGGTCTACATTAAACACCACTGAACCAGCTTTCACTATTTTAGGAGATCACTTGCTTTGTGTGACACAATAGCCAACCCTTGTAAGTGCGCACACAAACACTACTTAGAAGTGAACAGTGTGAGGATGTCCTGAAACCAAGTGGTTACAGCGGAGCACGCTATGTACTTTGCAGCACACTGCAGGTGTGACGTCGCCAGCTTGAGTCTCACCGCCAACATTTGTTGCAGGTCTCCCCCGCTTTTTCTCTGTCTCCCTTGTTTCCTGTCTGCATTCTGGTGATTCACTGTCAGTAAAGGTCAAAAGCCTGAATATATAACTTTAAAAAAAGAGGTGAACAGTGTGAATATGCCAAATTATTATGGCCTAAAAAAAGAAGTCAGAGTCATCCTCTCCAACTTCCAAGTCTGAATGCAGTCAGTGCTCGAGTCCGAGTCCGAGTCATGAGTACACAAGTCCACAGAGTCACAAGTCCTAAAAAACAGGATTTCAGTCTAAGTCCTGGACTCGAGTAAGTATTACAGCACTGCCTGACACACAGACACATATACATGCATATGTGCCTGAAATTACAATAGTAAATCGACTTATTCCAGGTTTAGAGAAATAAACCCTCCCTTCTTTACTTTGCTACATTATGCATGTTCCAACATTCATCATTTTCCAAGGCCAGTGATCATTATTTATATTTCTGGTCTCATATCTGCATATACAATACCTTATCTTAATTCATCCACAGTTTGTGAAACAGGGATGTACTGTATGCCCTCTACATCCTTCCTGATTGATTGCATCTTAGCTACTGACTCACTTTATGGCAGATTGTGCCTTCTTAATTCATTTGAGGGGTTTTTTTTAGTTGTAGTAAAAGTTTCTCCCTCTCACTTCCTCTCTCTAGGTGTCTGTTTGTTTGTGTGGGAGTTGGAGCAGTTGGAGTGAGGAGCGAGGCAGGATGATCATTAAACACACACACATTAAAAGATTTTTCATTTCACCTTTAAATTCTGAGACGTTTAAACTTTCTTCTGAAAGTATGTGTCTAAAGTCAGAATCAGTGCCAGGTGTCTGGTGGGTCCCCATGTGACAACAGAAGCAATCTGTTTTCCTGAGCTCAGGTCCCAGGGCAGGGGATTAAATTGCTTATTTGGATCCTGGGTTGAGAAACTTTTCTCACCTCTGAGGGTGAATGCAGTAGAAAAAAAAAGGTTCTGCAAAGATTTTGTAAACTCTTCTTTTCAACTGAGAGAATCAAGGGCAGCTCGTGTCTCAATTTAACATCTGTTCAAAGCCAGCAGGAAAAGATGTTATGGGAGCAAAGCTGGCATGATAAAATAAGGTTTTTGGTGGAACCATGTCAATTATGTTGTTGAGTGAACTTGGATTTTAGAGAAGACGAATAAATGTTAAAATTTTAACAAGGACAAAAATGTGAGTTGCTAATTTCTGGAGGTTGAAACCATTTGGTAAGCTCTGGCTGTTGGTCGGTGTTAGATAACGCTCACTTTTTGCTTCACAATCATAAACAGTGGCAATCTTATCAACCTTGATGTCCTTTTTCTTGTGTGTGTAGTTCCAGCCAGCATCTACAAGGTGTCAGAAGACATCACTGTTAACGAGGGCAGCAATGTGACACTCAGTTGTTTGGCCAATGGCAGGCCGGACCCTGCCATCACTTGGCGGCTGCTCAACCCCTCAGGTAAGAATTATCCCATCAGTGCTCATTATCATATGTGTCAATCAAGATGCCTGCCCACTGGTAGATTATTTCATCATATCATAATATTTATTAGAATATCAACAAGTAAATGGTCTTATACCTGTTAAGGTCTTTTCTATGCACACTCAAAGCGCGTTCACATTACTTGGCCATTCACCCATTCACAGTCATGGATCGGTGTGAACGTCAGGAGTAACTGGGGGTTCAGTGTCTTGTGGACTCAAGGACACTTTGACATGTGGACTGAACAAGCTGGGAATCGAACTGCTAATCTTCCAATTAAAAGACCACCCACTCTACCTCCTGAAACACAGCGACCCCCATTCCGTTTGTAATAGCTACACATGTAAATGAATATGAACACATTTTAATATGACTAGATAATGTGCTCTGAGCACATACAAGCAGCATCTGTATTTTTGTAATAATATTTTTGTTTGTTTTGTTTTTGCCCTTTCGCTGAGCTGACACGATTTGCCACAAACATTTCACCACTTCCTGTCGGAGTCATAATTCAGTTCAACATACAGATATCACACACTCGCTGCATGCGCTAGAAACAACACGCTCCTTTGAACTTCATATCACGGCTCATATCAGACTCATCTTATCACAGTGCAAACAGGAGCAGCTAGTAGCCAAAGCAGCAGGACTTTTCATCACTTTTTGACTGAGTTTAAAAACATGCAAATAGGCTTACATTAAGTTCAATATTTAGACATTCTGCCAGGTTCATCAGTTTTCACCAGATTTGTTGTGCGGTGTGCAGTAATGTTTGACTAATATTGTGCAGGTGTTATACTTTCCTCATGAGTCCACTTTGAAGCCTATGAATGTCACAAGGTCAAGTTAGCTTTTCAAATTTTTTTCATACACACTTTGTTTGAGCTTTAATTTTATCTGGACAAAATTCCATGACATGACCAACCTCGTTGTTTTTAAAATATAAACTTAATAATGCCCATTTTTGTCATAGACACTTCAGAACATACAGTATGTACCTCCTTTATTATACAGCCTGTACAACCTCCTGTTGATTCAAAGAAAATCTTGGCTTGTGACCACTGTTGGAACAATTTGTATGTAATTCTTTTGGTTAATTTAGATACAGGGTTTATCTATTTATCTATCTATGCATCTATGTATCTATATCTATAGATGCATAGATATAGATATATTAGAAAACACAGAACATTAACCAAACAACTTCCCTTATAGGTTCTGCCCATTTCCAGGAAGATCAAATACACATACAAATACTGATATCTTTGTGATAATCTGTATCAGATAAAGGCCCCTGCTTTGCATAAATATGTGCATGTTTTTTAACCACAGGGAAAGTTCCTGACACAGTTGGTTTTTATGTTGATGTTTGTGCATGCAGTATGTACAGGGGGTGTGAAAGTGCATCTCTTCATACAGGTGCATTCCTCAGCAAGAAGTGACACTTTTGCTTTAGGACTTAATCCAGTTTCAGAGAAAAGCTAAACATCTCCAACCACTGATAAGCTTGTAGTGTAATGAATAGAGATGCTCAAGTTGACAACATCTCACTTTAATAACAGCCATTATGCTTTTGTCTTTATCTGTTGCTGCGTCAGTTTGTCAGCACTCCAGATATGTTTCATCAAATACATCTGTTTTCTGCATCTGGAAGCTAAATAACTTGGATTGGTGTAATTGCCACTTATGTGTTTGAATAATCCTGCGGGCCATATGGATCTAAGTAGCTGCTTTACAGAACTGTGGTGAAAACTGAAAGCTCCTTTTCTTTTTCTTCCTGTCAATCTGAAAAGTGGCCTTGAAGAGTTAGATCACAAGTTGCTGTAGGTTAAAGCTCTTTTTGTATGTTTAAACAGCTTTGGTTCCAAGAAAATGAATGATGACTTTGATGTAGAGGGAAGTAAAAAGCAATATCTAATAGTAGATTTTTTTGGTGGGCTGCCATAAACTTGGCCTTATGCCTCTGCAGGTTCAGTACATTTCCTTCCATAGTTTTTGTTTTCATTATTCGCTTTCCCTGTGTTTTGTTGAGGAAGTAATTGGCAGACCACCTTCAACAAGTTTTTGTTCTTTACTGAAAGCAGTGTGAATAGTAAAATAGAAACAGTATGATAAAAGAAAAAATCCTGTCAATGCTGGATCCTGCACATGTGGCTCCAGAGATGAGGGCTCCACACCGTTTGCAAACACCAGCACTGTTGTTATTTTTGTTGTTGTTTTGTGGGTGTCTTTCAGCCTAGAATTCATAAGTATAACCCAGTTCTGAGCATGTGGGGGACTGCTGAGAGAGATAATGATGTCTGGCAGCATGTGGTCTCACTTGCTTCATGCCTTTGACTGCCTGGGCAGAAATGCTGCTTCGTTCAGCTAGTGATGCTCTCAACTGTTTGCTGGGACCACAGATGTTCATGAGGCACAAAATGCCAGTCCAAGTCAAGTCTGAAGGCTTTTATTCAGAGCATGGGTGAAGTCTCAATTCTTGGATCATGCTCAAGGCTCCATAATGGTTCAAACCTATTAACAATATGGCTGTTTCCACAAGTTTCATTGGAGATAAACAGTATTTTTTGTTGTTATAAGGCTGTAATAGAATTATTCTGATTACTCTAAAGTACCCTATCTTTATTTTTTAAATGAAGCTGCAAAAACAAGGGTTAGGCCAGAGGGACATAAATATTAGACCTGTTTTGTGTATGGAAAGGATTATGATTAGCAATAGCTGAAGAATCAGCTTCTCTTAATTTAGGTGAAAGCAATGCCACTTTTTACATCTCGGTCAAATAAAACAGTAAAATCTAATTAACTAGGTAAGTAAAGAAAGTAACATTTTATTTCTTTAGCACTTTTCTGAACCACAGTTACAAAGTGCTTTACAAAAGAAAATACACAATGAGTGAAAGCATTAAATAAAATCAAACAACATCAGGTAAATATCACAAACAAAAAAGAAACAATAGAATATTCACTCTCGGTAAAAGAACAGACAGCTGAATACTAGCAGTATTTAACTACATACGTACAAGTTAACCTGCTTCATAAAGTGGCTCAAAATAGCAACAGGCATTTGCCACTTAGATTTTAAACGACATCTGATTATGGCAGGCCAGGGTGGAAAGTAACTAAGTACATTTACTCAAGTACTGTACTTAGGTACAATTTTACAGTATTTGTACTTTGAGTGTTTTCATTTTGTGCTACTTCATTCTTTGGCTTCACTACATTTTAGAGGCAAGTATTGTACTTTTCACTCCACTGCATTTATTTTAGAACTTTACATATTTTTCAGAAACACATTAATAAAAAATACAGTATTATAATAAGACTTTATTGATCCCTGGTGGGAAGTTCACAAGCTACCTACTAGTAATTAAAATTACAAGCTTATAATCTTAGTTAAAACGTCCTCCCCCTTTACCACCTGCAACACTGTGATGAACACAATAATGCATCACTAATTATAATTAATCCACATGCATTTTCATATTCAGATTGGTGTCTTGAAGTACAAGTAGCTGTGTGGAAATTCAGTAGTAGATTTTTACAAATAAGATCAACTCAGTGCAGCCACATTTCCTGTTCTTCTATCTTTATGAGGCCCTCCAATGAATACATTACACTCATGGCCTTTAACACTGACCGATACTTGAATAATTAATCCCTCTGCTTAATTAAAATCTAAATCCAAAAGGTTTACCAAAAGAACTTTGCCAAAATGACCTCATTTAACAAAAGTCCAGAGTCAAGTTACAGCTTTTGTCATATACAACTTCGTCGCGCTATATGAGACCAAAGTCCTTCAGATTAATTACTGTTACCCTGAGATGTTGGTCTATCAGGCAGAAGATCCCGTTTGTTGTCTCACAAGAGTAAAACCACAGCAGCTGCAGCCATAAAAGTGTCCCACATATAGCTTGCAAACATACATAGAGTATAGTAAAAGCTCCATCCACCCCCCTGTCTTGTTGCTGGTACTGTTGTTATTGTAATCGGAGCCATAGTGCCTTTTTAATGTTGTGGTTGGGCAGCTATAAAGCACTCTGCTCTTGCTAAAAGTAGTCGCTTATTCTAAAGTGCACATCTCTCATCAACCTTTGTGGCCATTAAGTTTAAAAGTGAGCAAGCCTTTTGAGTTGTACACAAAGAACTAATGGATGTACTAATGGCAAAATGGCAGTCTAATGATTTTAACCTGTCAGTATTCACTTGGTCTGACTTAGAGCTGCACTGATTAGTCAGTTAATCGATTAGTCACTTGACAAAATTAAGCCAGCATTTTTCTGCCATTTTATATAATTCACAACAATTAATGATCAATTTATAATCAGTTAATTCAGGTAATAATTGGCAGAGCACCTGCATATTTATGACAGCTGTGTAACCACAGGGTTGGCAGGCCCTACTGTTTTCAACAGTACAGCCGTGGATGCTCTAACTACCGAGGCTACCACGTAAATTAAGCCCCAGAGGTATATGCTGTGGTTTAATTATATTTTTCAAATGTTGTGAAACCCAAAATGGAATACATGCCAGAGGAGCAGCTAAAGAAGCAAACACAAAACAGTTTATTTAAATCAACAAACTGCAACAAACCAAACTGACTATAACAAGCCAGAAAGTCATCAAAGCGTAGACAGTAACAAGTCAGTCTGTTGTAAAATCTTGTCTGTAAAACTTTTCTCAGAGGCTCAGAAGTAAAACCTACAGTAATCCCATACAATTCAGATAATTCGAGTGACAAATAATGCCTCCCAAGCTAGAGTGGAGTATTTTCAGCTGACTGTCAAAATTGGTATTCCATCTTAGGATTTGTTTATGAGATAGTTAACAGCGGGGTTTCTCAAGGTGTCCATACTGATTACGCCTGTCATCTGTTTCTACAGGGCCAGTCAAGCTGAAACTGCTCTTTCTCGGCACTTCACAATCATTTCTCTGTTATTGTTGCCTCCGTCGCTCGGTAATCACAAAGCTAATTAGAT